TAAATAAACAAGTATGGAGAAGCACCAAAATTGATTTTGTTAGATATCTCGAAAACCAAGATGAATTTTAAAAAATTGCAGAACGAAAAGGGTCAGATGATTGATTCTGCCTTTTATTGAAATATCAAGATGTCATATGTGGCATACTCCAAAAAAGTTAGATGCATTTCCATCAAAGAGAATGCGAAATATCTATCTCCCGCCTGTATATCGATTGAATTGATATATGTTTCTCATGCATACTCGCATATAGGTAAGTTGACTTCAATCGGCATATTTTGGTATATAGTTCACCCTGTAGAATTTATAGTACATTGTTGTTGTGGGACACTCTGTATATATATTAGACAAAAAAGTTTTGATTCGTTTCGTTTTCAGTAGTTTCCAATGTTATCTTGCTGTAATATAAGCAACGATTTTGATACGTTCAACGTTCATACCACCTACCTTGTCCAATTTATTGCAAAACAAATCACGTCCCACCTTCTGAAATATTGTATATCAGACTTGTATAATATAATAGGAATTTGTATTAATCTCAATGTTTTATTTTAGTATACATAAGAATAATCAAATGAGAGAGCTTTTTACTGCAGTGAACTTAATTCAACCTCATATACTCTATAATTGACGTTAATGTAATCATTGGCCAATTACCACTAATTATTCAAATGAACTCACTCTGCATGGTGGCATACTCATCCTACTAACTTCCTGGGTGATCAGGTAGGTTAATGCAGAATGTACACCATCATCATTGTTACATCATCTGAATTAATTTCCGAGGATTCGCATGACTATCTTCCATATTCGTTCTAGACCATTAGATACTCTTTGGCCTTGAATTATCAATATCATCCATTTGTTCGTCAACTCAATGTGAGGATGTATCGGGAGACAGAAACCTTTGGCACGAAGATCACACTACACTACACTACACTGTTTTACCACTGACCAAACCGATAGTAGATTAAGATATTTAATTTCAATCTTCTCCTGACGATGCTAACTTTTTTTTTCATCGAGGTTGTTGAAATTGGTCATGGACATCATTTCGGGTCTAATATCTCCCATTTGATAGTGTGGGAGTCCTCTGACACCAGGGAATACCCACTAAACACTCCACCCCGTCTGTACATGCCGTTATCAATTTCACCGTATATGGTGCTATCAAGGGCCACTTCAATATGAAAGACCCTTTTTCGTTCCTGAATAAAGATTACACTTATGATCCCTGTTCTCGTCTACGAAGGAGGCCAAAAGTGTTCCTTCTCCTTCGAGTGACGGTGGAAGGGGTTGGTCCAGCCCTGTGGTGTTCCCTGCACAGGGCTGAGGCTCTACTCTAAGATGTCGCCCTGTTTCCCAGAGGCCCCGTTAGCGACACCATGCCATTCGATGCCATTCATCCATCGCCACGGGTTCCAAAAGCTTCGATTAGGGTGCCAGAGCCTCGTTGACCAGTCCTTGGTCACCTAGACAGATATAAGCAAATCGACCATCTTTGTCACAGATGTCCACGAATAATTGTATCATCTGGCATGGAGATAGCAAGGATGGTCCCAAAATGCTTCATCTGTCGAGCGGCCGAGGTCTGACCTCCCCACACCACTTGCTGGTGAGGTTTGGCTTGGAGGGGAAGAGGGAAAGATAATTTGGCGAAGAAAGGCCGATAGGATGGATTGGAAAAGGAAGAGAGAAGACAAGTTTGGTGAATATTCGGCTAGGGTACCTTGGGTTCACCATTCCCATTCCCATACTCATAAGTTGTGAGCCCCTGAGGGGAACATATTTAGAAAAAATCTGGTTAGTGGTGAAACAGTGTAAAGTGAGGAGTTGAAACTCATTTATCTTTCAGACGACCAAAGGTACTTGGATTGAAACTAAGTTCCTCTGTGATTTTTTTTCTATAAATGAGTGGATAGTTTCTTATTTAGGTAGATGTATGCAATTATTTTACATGCAGTGGTGAAAATACGATTGACATAGCATACGGGCTTAATGATTTTTGGAGCAACTACTTATATACCTGAAATTTTGTATATTCATTTCCCACCATTCTTTTTTAATAGAAATAGAAATCTACATACAGTGGTTTTCTTTAATGTCTCCCACTTTATTTTTGGAACGTGTCAACGAAAAAAAATTAAAACACAGGATATAATGACATTTATGCATGAATACTATAGGTATTTTTGAGTAAGACTCACATAACGAGTGGCTTCTGACGAATACTTCGCAACCCTAGAATATAAAGTCAATATCTTCAACTACTACACAATGGCGGGACATGATTTTTTATATTTCTACTTCTTGTTGTCAGTTATACCTGCTATTTACTTATAATGACTAAATATTTTCGCAGACAGAAATCCTGGCCGATAAAATAGACTTCGACCTATGTAGATCTCATAAATATTTTATTTTGATTCGAATTACGTCTAGCTGATGAAATTCGAAATTTTCCGCTAAAATATACTCCATAACAAGCAAAATAAATAAGGAATCACGGAATCATATGAATGAATGAATATTGGCTTGGAATAGTTCTGGAGGTACTTTTTGGCACGGATATCGCCACTGCATCAGAGCAAAAAGGGACCGCGCCATCCCCCTTAAGGACTAATAAATTAATATACAGTGTGTTACAATTTACTCCACCCCACCCCTGTACTTTCGCATTCCTAGGACGATACAAGGACAACATTTTGATAATGACAATCGAATCGGGCTAGTCACAAATACTCCTATATCCAATTTCACAACATGAGATTCATTTTCTGTTCACTTTTCATATTTCTTTCGCACGTTTCACGCGTTATTTTCAACTCTCCTCATTTCTTTTGATCGTATCTTTCTGCAAAGTGTTATTGTTAAAAAAAAAGTCGTTCATGGAAGGAGAACAAAGTGACGCTGCCACAATTCATGAAAATCGATTTTTTGTTACAGGGGTTATGGAGGAATTTAGAGAAATCTTGACTTTTTTCATACTCTCGACACCCTGTATCTCAGTAAGGATGCATTTTAGGACTTTGATAGGAACTGTGTAGGAAGTTTGTCGGTCTTATTCTGACTAACCCTGTATACTTTGCCACTGTGAGGGCTTGTCAAGACTAAAGTTTCTTACGCTGGGTGAGGAAAAACTAAGAGCTCAAAGTTACACAGGGGATCTGAAAGCTAGCCTATGGAGTCTCATAGAGAAGGCGCAGGACTAGCCAAAGAACTCTGAACGATTTTGAGGGCAGACATAATAGATCTGAATAGGTCTTGGTGTGGAGGCAGATAGCCCGAAGGTCCCACTCTATATCTAGAAGACCACAAAGCAAGAACGATGAAAGTAATTTCTTCTTCTTTCGCTGGGAAACGAATTTAAAAGTTCAAAAGTATATTCGGAAATTATACAATTCAAATTTTTAATCAAAATTTTTGACACCAGGTAATCATTTATCGGTGAAAACAATAAAAGTATACTCAGACTGCTATGATTTTTCTATTTATTTTTAATTCAAACTTATGATCGAAACAACAGAAAAAAACTGCGAAAACGATGGTTCTCTTGAAAAAATCCTCAAAAACGATGATAGTTCATGATGAACTTTGTTTTTTTCTTCATCATAAAGTTCAAAAACACACTATGATGAGATCAACGTGTATGCGTTGCATATGCTGCGATTGTTTTTTCAATTATACGGAGACTCCGCAGCATTATTTACATTTTTGCTATGTCTCGCATTGACTTTCAGCGTTTCTGTGGTGGACAAGAGGATTTCATTCAAGAATAACTTTCAGACTATCAGCGATATTGTCAAGCAGCCCAGGGCATTCAATTCTACGTTTTACTAGCATTTTTCGATACTGATATCTCATTTTACCCGAAAAAATGTACTCTCAGCGTTTTTGCTATGTGTTCTAAACTAGAGTCAGATGATGCAGGATGAATGCATCAGGTTGTCCTGTCTTTAGGTATATTGATCTTCCGGTCTATTGAAGAAGAATGCGTTTTCACCTTCGTAAGGCTCAGTAACACATATGCATCTATTGAGCTATCTGGTATCAGATGATGGCCTCACATACAAAGATTATATTATAATATGAGGCTAATATCTAATTCATCTCATCTTCAGTTGATATACCTTTTAGTATTTGGGGCAACAAGGGGGCAACGGTGACTGATGATACAGAGTAGATTGAGGTTACTTTGACAGTTGCAGAATGAATGCATCATGTTGTCCTGTCTTTTAGGTATATTGATCTTCCGGTCTATTAAAGAAGAATGCGTTTTCACCTTCGTAAGGCTCAGTAACACATATGCATCTATTGAGCTATCTGGTATCAGATGATGGCCTCATATAAAGATTACATTATAATATGAGGCTAATATCTAATTCATCTCATCTTCAGTTGATATACCTTTTAGTATTTGGGACAACAAGGGGGCAACGGTGACTGATGATACAGAGTAGATTGAGGTTACTTTGACAGTTTAACATCTTCTCATCTATTTTACTATGAGTAAGGGTTGTTTCCCTTTTACGATTCAGTAATACCTACAATTTTTTTGTTAAGTTGGGTTAACTGGAATCTGACTCCAGAAATTTGTTTCTCCACCAGGTGATGGTCTTATTTACTTAAAGATTATATCATGTAAGGCGCAGAGGTTTGTTAATGATAATAATATTAATAATGTGTCTTTATTCATCATCAAATTTCGAAAAAAGATGAAGGGGTTCAGCTATCAGAGCTGCTTTTAAACCCAACCTTCTGTTATGTTCTGATTCATGATTTGTTGTTACTATATATTTTTTTGGTGTCTTTTGAGTATGAAGCTCGTTGAAACCTGCTGTAATTGTATAGTTTATGCGAAGTCAGTTGAACAGATCATCAAACGAATGTCGAGCCGCGCTGCCGCAATCTTTGAACTTTCAAAGGAACCGACGGCTTGCGGTGATGTGTTCTTCCCTACTTACTTTGCATAAACTTTAACCAGACAACTGACAACTCACCTATGGTCTTGATAATGGTGAAGTCCTCTATGTCGTATCTATGCTTCTCCTTCTCATCATCGGAGTATTCCTCACTAGTGACCACGGAGGAGGCTGAGTCCAGACTCTCGGTGCTTTCTTGCCGTGTTCGGATGCTGTAGTCGGCCATGGCGTGAAAGTACCAGTCAGTCAGATCAATCGGATCGATTTGTTCGATCAATTAAATGGTTTTGCTTGTGCAGTTACGGTTTCGACATGCGGTCAGCGTGGCGAATGGGAGATATCGCGAGACTAGGTGGTGCTGCAAAGACGGGAAATTGCGAAATTTCGATAGTTGTTCGTTTCTTCGTTTTTATTTGTTCTTACCAGCGGTTTGTGGTGGAAACATGAGCTTTTAGCGGCGAATGAGCATTTGACATGGTCGTGTCAAGTTGATGCAGTATTGAAAAAAATTTCAAACTACACTTACGTTCTTTGGCAACTTAGGGATAAAGTTGACGATATATAATCTCTTATAACTTTATTATTTTGGATATGTTCAATTTTTTTACTTTCTTATGCCATCATGTTCTGGGGCAACTGTGCCAGGGCTGATTAGGTCTCCAGAGTTCAAAAGAGAATAATTAGAATCACATTATTCAAATTGTATACCTTTTCTTGTAAAGAATTATTCCCAGAAATGAACCTACTAACTTTTCTCTACCTGATGTCCATTCTTGCAACAATAATGCAGGTCAAAAATAACTTATCTGAATATTATGCTGTTTCTAGAAATAATCAATATGGTCTTAGAGTAAGTATGGATTTGGCCTTACGCCTTACCCAAGCACAGACTGACCAAGGAAGCAAATAGTTTCATTGTGCTACCTATCACATTATATAATAAACTACCAATAATTGACTTGAAAAAAATACTAAATCGACATCAGAATTCTTTTATTTCAATCAATGATTTTTTCACTTGCAACGTCTCTGACCTCGCACCTAATACTTTTTCTTGATGTCCTTACCACTTTTGTTTGTGTGCAAAATTTTTTGAAGTTTGTTTTTCTACCTATTATGTATGTTCACTCACTGTTTATCAGATTTTTCAATTAGAGAACCTATTTTGAAATTATTCACAACTGCAGAGTCTATGGAAATGAATATTGTTCATTGTATGTTCATTGTATTGTACTGAATGATGACCATAAAACGTTTTTGACTCATTTTAGACTAGAAGAAATATTTAGTGGATTATATTCCAAAAACTACTCATTTCGTTCAATTATTTTGGGATTTTCTCTCCTCGTTTCTATAAAATGAAACTTCGAGTATTATAGCAATATACGTGTACTAGGACGAATTGGATGATTTGCCCCAAAATGTCTTCTGCGTTTGAAAAATTGTTTTATTGAATAGAAACTCCAATCGTTGGCCAGTGACCAAAACGTTGAATGAGCTGTAAAAACATGATTATTTTGCTTTTAGCGGCGAATGATGATTACTCTTCGACTATGAAACATTTTGACTTAAGAGTTGCTAGTAGACAAATTTGGTGGATTGAAATCTGAAAACTTTGAGCTGAATAAGCTAAGACTAGGATTCTTTAAATTCTCAAATCCGACCTACTTTACCTCAAATTTGGAAAAGAATTAACACTATTGGTCATTTCCATGAACTACGATAACCACACTACATTTTTTGAGAAATTTTCAAACACAAAGGAACTCCCTAGTCAAGATTAACATATTTTCATGTCGATTGTTCTTTTTCCAAAATCTACCGTTTTTGTTCAATTATTTGGACATTAAGTGGATGACTGAGTTTCGCACTTTCTGTTAACTCATTATTACTTATATATTCATTATATTACACTATCTTACGGAATCATAGTCAGTCCAGAAAAAAACTCATTGTAGATGGCTGACGCGGTGAGATAGATAATATCCTTTTATTTCTGGTAATCACTAGTATATTTTGTCATGTAATCTATTTTTATGCCGGAAAGTATAGTGTCGTGGACGTTTAACTTTTTATAATTTCCAACTGGACTGGAAAATATCAAATTTTCAAGTGTACATACATGCAAGTGTTCGAGCAAGAATATACAAGTATCCTCTCTTCAACAAGTCGTTTTAAACGAGTAATTTGAAAAAAAATTATTTTCAATTTCATATAATATTCGAGTACAGCAATCTAAAAAACATATGAAAATAAAATATCAAAGCTCCACCAAATTTCTACCATTTGAAAGGACTAGTTGGTGAATATAAGTATATGAGGGTATTATGTGATGATTATGAAGTTTATTTCAATGAGCACTTTTCTTTAGGAGATGGGGAAAAGTGTCCCCCCCAAGTTAGTCTTGGCTGGGGGTAGCTGCGTGTGTCTTGTTACGCTACACTGTGGCCAAGGCCGTCTCAAACCATGCTGGGGCCCTTGGGCGAGTTATACTAAAATTTTTCTATTATAATCTACTTATTATGGGCAGTCAAATAATAGTATATTGTACAACTAGTGTACAACGGAAAATGAGTTATTCCATACGAGTTCGCCCACGGCTCGTGGTTCATCTCACACGAGTATGAAATAACCCTTATGGAAAAAGCTGTATTCACTGTGCCATTGTGAATATTTTTTCTAGTTCTTATTGATGCGGAGGTTCATAATTTTTTTTCTAAGATGATGTAGTATTTTAAACCGTCTAGCCGTGTCTAGAGTTAAAATAGGATCGCTAAGTCATACATTCAAGAATATTGCTGGGAAAAGTTGAAGTGGAAAGTAAAAACATCCCATGATTTTGTTTTCAGATTGCCGGTTCTTAAATTTGAATGGCATATTGGCATAATAACCACTTTCTATCAGCAAGGCTGGCTACTTCAAAACATCGACTTCTCATGTGTTTTGGCTACGATGAAAGTGTCATATAAATTTATTCTAAGCCAAGAATCTGAAGTCGATGGAAAGTGGAAATTTAGATAATATTAAGGTTTTAACTGGAAAAATAAGGCACCTTTATGATATAGTTGATTTATATCATTCTATACCCTTTATAAGACTTTTTGATTCTCATGTTCAACTACCGATTAATAAAATTTTTTCTTTTAGCATACGCGCCTATCACCTTACAATATCATATAAGAAGAAAAAGGAGAAAATATGTATAGATTGGAAACTTCAGAAATTCAATGTGACAGTACTGAGATAAATTGAGGTTATTATTTGTCTATAATTAGAATTGCGAGTCTGGATAAAACTGCTGAGAAGTTAATGAAATTATTGTATATAAAATGGTCTTCCCGGTTTTGAAATATACCATGAATAAAAATAATTCGATTCTTGGAAATTGACCTCTTTCAATATTATGCATAAAAAATACAATAATTGAAAAATTGCTTCAATTTCAGTTCCTCCGCGCGGTCTCCTTTAAAATATAAGAGGTAGAATGGTATAGATGTTGGGTATGAATAGGTATCTACTCTGATCAAAATATTTAGAAGGCACTTCTACTGTATTTTTTGTATTTTTTCATTTTTGAGTGTTCAACTCTTTAACGAATGTGCTTAAATCACAGACATCAATATTTTCGTTTACTTTTCCAAACTCTGTTATCAAAGACAAATTTTGCTTGACATCTTCTATTTTGATTTGATAAACAATTGTATCCAGATTAATCTTATTTGATAATATCATCTGGTCTGGGTCAATGAACCGTTAAAAAATTTACAGTATTCATTTCAATTATTCTAAATAGCCAGTAATTTTTTGATAACGCAAAATGGGAAAATTCAAACGAATTGGATGAATTGAAGTCCCAAACACGATCACTATATGAACTTAATATAACATATGGTTAGGAATCCTATACGCTCCCGCCAAATTTGAATTTCATACCTTCAGAACTAATGAATACGTTGACATCCGGTATGTTGAAGTTATACTCATATTTTTATTCATAATAACGAGGGGACGAAATCCTGAAAAATCTAGAAAAACATTAATGTCTTGACAACTGTTGATGGATTTGGGTAGAAGACATAATGGTACGTAACATAATCAGAAATTTCGTGCCTGCTATCACAAATTGAATAAATAAATATACTCGTAAATATATAAAATAATAAATAATGAATTTCTATCTGGAATAAATTTGATGATCGTAACTTAATCATTTGTCATCAGAAAAACCGTAGCTAAAAATGGGAACCCACTCGTTCGAATGTTTTTTTCAAGCAACAAACTCCTAAATTTCAAATGATTTTGTTCCGTCACGTTCGATTTTTTCAAATTGCGTAAAACTTAAAAGTGGGAAGATTTCTGTTGTTGAACTACACGGTTTGATACCTATAAATAAAATTTCCCTAAAACTCACATCTCCACCACAAACAACTATTCATGAACCGAATTATTTACTTACCTTGCACCGTCCGAAAGTTCACTGAAAATTTGCGGCCCCTTTTCACTACTTTTACCAACCTCCCGGGCTATAAGTTTATTATACACGCGTCCAAGTATTGCGTGGATCGTGATCTGCGTCCGTTCAGTATTTGATCGCGACTGACAATATATTTTTGAAAGTCTGTCTGCCACACACCGTGCTATTAGCTGTTGCATAGATTAACGATGTTTCCAGTTTCTTGCCCATTTCACGATGTCATTTCAATTTCACGCATGCTCCTTCCTATCATATCACGTGATGGGGGTTTCCAAATCCCTAGTATCAGTATTTATTTTTAACCCTATCGGTAATTTCAGTATTTATAATCGATGGGAATTAATGTGTATGTGACATGCACACCATGCATTTTTGCAATTTCTGCGCCTCCACTTTTCATATGGACCAAAATTGATTTTTGATTCGGGGTGATAGCAGACAATTCGGCGTTTATATCAACAATGAATAAACATGATAACTCGAAAGGATCAGTTATTTCCATCATCGTGCAATATTTCGGCAGCTACAGTTCCAAATTTTCGTAACTTCTTGCGCAAAATACTCATGTCCGGAAATACTAGGTACTCTGGTTTCGGAGATATAAAGTTGTTGAAATTGATTCCTGTTTTCGTTTTTTCAAAATAACTCTCGCAAAAAATAAGTTTTTCCACAAAATTTATGATGAAAAATCATAATTCATTCATCGTTATGATTTTCCACCTCTAAAAACCCCATTTCATGCAAAAAACTTGCAGCGAAGCATTTCCTGACACAAGCTTATTATAGACTTTTTTTATTAAAATTGGTAATTCAGTTTTTTTAACGTACTTATGTTACACCCTGTATCTTCTTCACAACTTCATACTTCAGGGTACATTTATTCTCCTGAAAAATCTAAATTTGTATAGAGAACACGTCTCTACAACTTCTTGATTATTGTTATTTTCGTTAATAAAAACAATGACCAATACAGAATATGGTCTATACATACTGAAATTGAAAAACGATGAATAAAAGTTAGATATTGTATGAGACATATACAGACACAATAAAAGGCAACAAAATGTATGTTTTTTTTTCAAAACAACAAACTTCAACCTATGTTCTTACCAGCTCTTACCCGCATGCTCCCACCTATATGCTCCCCATTGTATAAGATTAATTTATTATTAAATATTCATTGACGACTATTTCATATTCTTTGTTTATATTGTAGTTGAACAACCTATATTTCCTTCATTTAGTATGGCTTAATAATGATAATACTTCCTGTTCTGGTGTAACTGAACTGATATAATAAATTCGAGAACTTTTTAAGTTTATGAGTTCGAGTAGGAATTTATTGTTTTATTTATTAATAATTGAACTATACTGTTCCGGTTCCTTAACATTTATTCCATTGGTTATTGGATGAGATGATTTCGGATTCCATTTACAGTGTGATTCACTTGAGACCTCAAACCTCATTTGACAAGAAAATTCGATAGTATCGAAATATTTGTATTTATTATGAATATAAATAGTATTTCCCACATTGAGCAGAATCATCTTGTATATTTTCATACTCATTGACCATTCTCGAATGTATGTATAGCTTTTTTCGAATATGCATATTATGCAATTCTTTCACACGTCCAACTATGATTATCAATAATATCAATACAAAAAAATCAACTGAAAACTCAGATCATCAGAATGTTACGATACCTCTGAAATGAACATAATTATTGTAGGTAATATGTTTTCAATATATAATTAGTTATAGTATTATGTACATCGTTGGTATGTATAAACAACTGGCCATCGACCTTACGAGAGGTCTTTCAGCCCATGTGTGTTCTGTGTAGGCTTTGATACTAACTCTATACGCCACCTCAAAAGCAGTACTGTTAATTGGAACGCAAGCCGAGATCAAAAATTCTCTGCTCTCTAAAAAATGTTTTTTATACGTCTCCATAATGTCCTTATTAGAGAGATTTTTCGTGAAAAAAAATTGAAAATTTCATGTCCATATCGCTTTCAAAGATTGTATTTAGCGATTTGCTGTTCAATATCACAACTTATTATGAATATTTTTATTACAGATGATTTATATACCCATGATCATTACTCGCAATGTGGAATTATATTTAAATTTATTAGTATTTCTGTCGAGATAAACATTATATTATAATTATTATATTATTATTATATTATTATTTATTGATTTCATTGATACTAATGGCCTGTAAAGGGTTTTATGATGACTTGTTATTTTATATTTTCTACATCATTGTTGGAATTTTGATTATTTTGAATCATTCAAATTCTCTATACCTTCGATCGAAATACAATGAACAGTTTTCGAGATATTTGACTGAAAAATACTTGCATTTTTTTTCATATTCGATAGGATAAAATATTTAAAATTTTTGTTTTTTTTCCATCTGCATAAGATTCAGTTTTCGAATGGAAACTAAGAAATATATACCTATATAACGAGCCCGCAATCAACTTTTTTGCATAATCTGCTATTGAAAAATGCCAAAATGCCTATGTAACATTTCAATATTTCAAATATTTTGAATACGGTTGTACAAGAAGCGCAGTCCGCACATCTTTTCGTTGTCAATCTCGAAATATGTCGAACAGCACTATATCAAAACTCGTTTGTTTCTCTATTGAACGGGAAAGCTGTGGAATTCATTGTCTAAGGAAGTATTTCCAAGGACTTACAATCTCCAAAAGCTCAAAAAACTTCCAACACCTAATAACTCCTCTCCCAATTCTCTTCGAACATTATAGGGATCTCCTTTCGTGCACACTATAAGCGATGAAATAAGAAACAATCTTGATTTATTCAGTGGCGAAAAAAATATGAGGGGATCAATTATTGTTTCCACAACCACCTGTAGCGCAACACTGTTTTTGTGTCAAAAAATAACTTATTGATATGAAACATATATGATGACATCATATTCTACCGAAATTGAATGCAAAAATTCAAGTGTTCTTGATGTTGTATACTTGTGCATTATATATAAAAAAAACGGTCTGCCAGATGTGCTGTGAGCAAAAAATTGTGTGGGTAGTCTCTAGAACGTGATTCACAATGAACGAACACCTCTTGAAATAATATTATACTTAACTGTCTCGAAACACTTTAGACAAGTTACATCAACATTTAGAAATTGCTAGATAAACTATTTAGAAGGCATTTATTATCACTTTTGAACATTATATCAACTAATAAAATCAAATATTTCATGAGTCATCCTAATTGAAATTTGTAACAAGTTAGTTATTTTAACAAAAAGTATTGCACATGTTGCACACAAATTTTCCCGGATTAAAGTGAATTTATTGTATCTCGTATCTCGAATTTTATTAAAGAGTATATTCACATCACCCGTTAGATACTTGGAACTGAATAACAAGTCAAAAGACATAATCGATTCAATAAACGGCGTTCATTCCATATAACTTATTATGTTTAGTGACAATTTCACTAGCAAAATGCTGCAATATCACTGCTCAACTTTGCCAATATTTTTTTTTTCATTACAAAAGTCGAGTTAGGAACATATTTTCATTCAAACTTTCAAGGTCGATAACTCCGTAACGAAGTGCGGTAGCAATTTTTTCATATGAAGTTCTGACATTATTTTGGCTCGCTCTATATATCGGCCACGACATTTTCATTCCGGACACCCTTTATATAGTTATTGACTTTTGAGTTCATTAAAATGTCAGTATTTTCTTTTAAATATCGAACAATGACGTTTATATAGAGGAATATTGATGGTGGTACCTATGTAGTATTGAACTCGAAATCTTTAGGGCAAAAGTAATTTACTTTATAACATAACCAATCATAAGAAAAAGTGGTCCATTTAATACAGATTCCGAAATGGTATAAATATTATGGGGTTATTCAGAACAGCCTTTTTGTTATTAATTTTTTTCAAATGGGTCATATTTTTTAGAAAAATTGAATAACTTTTGATCCATCAACAATGTGATAACAACATATTATACCGTTAGATTGATTCCAAATGACCCCCTCAACCACACCACATCTTTTGATTCATTATTTATGGGACACCCTGTATAATATTGGACTCTTACCGTTTCCAGAAAATTTCTAATACCATCTTAATTGCACTAAAAACATAAAACTGCAATATCGAGCACATGACAATTATTTGTTTCACACTATACACACCAAATAACTTTCGACTTTTTCCATTACTTCCTTTTTTATCACGGTAAGGAGGTTATTAAAAAACACGATTGTCATGTGTGAGTTGATGTGAATAAGTATACCTACACTTGCCCACTATCGCAAGTTTCTGAATTGCGATACCTACCCAAAATGAGCGATTTAGCTTCATTATGGTATCTAACTACCTATTTTAATTGTGTGCCTTCGTATATGTTGAAAAAAATGTGACTATTTCTTTATATTCAGGTTGTCCCTATTCGAATAGAAAAGTTTAGGTGCACCCTGTATACCTACGATTTATTCAATAGCATATTTCGAGTGAGCATCATCAAATATACTGGCTGACCAAGTGACCAAATTTCAAGTCATTCGATCGCGCGTTTGATTTTCTACAGGGGGGGGACATTTTAGCTGGGACACGGTGTATATATTGTAATGATATTTCCCTCAGAGGGGCTTTAGAAACATCATCAGTAAGAAAGGAGTACAACGCTCATTCTGTAACACGCATCCCAGATCGTTCTCCAACCTCCCAATGATTCCTACATGCACCAGCATATTTCCGAACACTCAATATATGCCGCAGTGACAAATAACGTCACAGAAGATTCTGGAATGTTCTGGAAACAATCGATGGAACAATTAGAGAGAGAGGTTTGTTCTAAGAAGCTTCTAGAACAAAAAGAAGGAGACGGACGATCATTCGATAACGTTCTCGAACCAAAGCCTGCCAAGTGATCTCATAATATGAGATCACTTGGCAGGCTTTGGTTATATATTATATAAACGACCGAACAACTGCCGTCAGTCAGTCGAGCAGCGAGTGTCAGAGAGACAGTTATATACCGCGATATAAATCGTTTTACATAAATAGTAGTTATAAGTTCAATATAAATGAGTGTTTTCTTTAGTTTAAATAAATCAGTTCGAAAATAAATAGTGTCGTGTTCGCTTCTGCGCCCGAATAACGTAACAATATATATTCATTTTTTATGTTCCTGATTATATCTGAGAATATTCCTTTTCAATACTTTCACCAATCAAATAAGGGTTCAAACTTGAACGATGGAAACTTGTTATTTTTATAGAACTTCCATCGCAGATTCGTGATTTGGTTTTCTCAATTCAGAATTTCTTTCCGCATGTCCTGTATGATGAATATCAATTAATAATACATCCAAAACAATTGGCATCTTGTATATAATATAAATCAAGCTTTAATGAGAAAGGGAAGCAAGGCAAGGAATTTTTGTGCTATCTGGGATGAAGGATGAGAAGAAAAAAAGTGAACTTCAATCCAAATATAATACACTTATACCAAGAAAATAATTGCCGGATTTGCATGCATTTCTGAAATATTTCATAAACTGTTCAACGTTAAATAACAGGTAACAAATACAACAGAGACAAGAAAAAATCGGCATTTTACTCGGTCTGTATTCCAATTAATTCTGATATATTTATTCTATCTGTAAATTTGTAGGTGCATATTTTTACCTATTTTAGTATTGATAGCAATGTTCAGTAAAATACATGATTTTTTCTTGACTACACATCACATAATATATGTAGCAAAATGATTCCCTGGCATAACTTTGATCTACACTATAAATCCAACAACAAATAAAAACTACATCGTTTCATAATTGCAATACTGGGATACTTTTTAGTATACATTTATCACAAGTCGAAGATTGATAAAATCCATTTCTCATTATCAAGTGTATGTTTTTGTATACTGTGCGATTATTCCACTATAGCAACATGACAACGACTTTTGCGAACTTCAACTCTGTCTTTTGTTAATCACATATAAGATTAAAATAATCTAAACTAAGTTGTATAACTCATGAACTTAAAGAATATAAATGAAATGGCAATAAGGGTGACTATTTTGAAAAGGAAATGTGCCCCATTTCAAGAGTTTTCATTGAAAACTATGATCTGATTATATATCGAAAACCTCTACATAGGTATAATGCAAATTTTTACCATTTATAATGGTAGTAAGAAAATACGTTTTCCATTTCGTGTTAATAAACGTTTATATTTATCGTTTTGCTAAAAGTCAGCATCATATTAAGTCATAAATGGAAGCTCTAAGCTAAACTAAAATTCGATTATATATCAATTCATTATTTAAAAATTTATAAAAGACTGGATAAGCTCATATGGATTGTATGAAATTTAGAATATTTTTTATGTTCGCTAGATAAAAGATATGCATTTTGAACATTTTTTCTGAAATCCAATTTTCTTCAAAGTTCAGAGAAAAAACTGAAGAGAATTTGAGGATATCATTATGATTCGAAAAATATAAATATTGTGCAAGCCTTTATATGATATTCTCATGCACGCATTTCAATTTCATTATACATGGTATGTCACGGCGACCTTACACTATCTTTGGGGGAGACCACTGATTTTTTAAATCGACATTATCTTGACCTCTATACTAAAAAACTACCAGTGAATTAATTTTGAAATTTTTCATTCATGCTAAGACGATGAGTAAAGTAAATTAGGATATGTCCATTTCAAAACACTTAATTCCTGCGCCATTCGAAATTTTGTCAATTTATTGGTGTGGCTGGTGCGACGTCTTAGTCCCAACACGCCTATTGTCCTTGAACTGACCAATCACACTGCAGCACTGCAGAATGACGAGGTATCAGAGATAGATACAGTTCGGGACTAATACGTCACGGCTCCACTATCATATTTGGCTTCTTGAAATATCGAATGAAATATGCTGATTTCAGAACGATATAGATTCGATTCCCTTCAACTTCAACTCATAATATTGATTGTACATAAAACGTAAATCATTATTCGTCGATTGAAAGAGGTTTGCACGGATTTCTTCCCTCAGTGGTCTTTCCCATCAATGGCAGGAAAATGAGAATGTGCTTACTTATATTTGAGATTACGCTCTCTTCGTTTAACATATTTTCGACAACGCTGTGTTGCCTCTTCAATCGAAAAATGGCAACAACTTTGTTATTTCATATCATATTGCATTTTTATATTCTTCAGAAGAGCGAATTTCATCGATATATCGCACTCGGGCCTAGCGGGAATGATAACATACATATAGGTGGTGCAAAATCGAGATTTTTCAACTTTAGGATTTTTTTGTGTCGAAACTATTAATTATAGTTCAAAACGGCTTTCATCTATATCTAAACTTTTATCACTATCAACTGACATTCAATTGGAACCGATACAGGTCTATCAGAATTCTGAATCTTGAACCACCCTGTATCTGTTCATATTAAATGGCAGTGGACAGTAAATCAGAAGATAAAATAGGGACATGTGTACCGTTTAATAATGAATAGTTTCCAACAAAAATCCTAGAGTTGAAAAATCTCGATTTTGAACACCCAATATCTCTGTAATCATTCCCGCTAGACCCCAAGTGTGATATATTGATGAAATCAGCACTTTCAGGGAGAATCTGAAAATGTTATGAAACACAGGGTATTCCTTTTGAAATATCAAAGTTGCTACTACTTTCTAGTAGCAGCGGCAACACTGCATTGTCGAAAATATTTTAAACGAAGAGAGCGTAATCTCAAATACAAGCAAGCACATGCTCATGAGTTCCTTGCAACTGCGGTTCTGGATAGTGCAAGCGCTTCGTGAAATACCCTGTAGATTGAGAATTGATATTATATTCTTATATATTTTTCATAATGCAAGGTATTTACACTGTATGAAATATTCAGTGTACAATGTATTCATTTTCAAAATCGAGTAATATGACTTCGAATTTCAACTTTCTGCAGTTTTTCTTCCAAGTAAAATCTTCAATGATCCAGCATTTGATTTTAGGAGTTTGCACACCACATTCTCAATTTTTGCTACTTAAAAACTAACCAGATTAACACGTTTAGGTCCCTATAAATTGTCTTCACAATCACGAATTTCAATAACCTTACTTGTAACACTTATAACAATAACTTTTTTTAAAGAAACCATCACCAGTTGATTTGAATTCATTAAGAATGTTCTTATTTTTATCCTAACAATATCAACAGAGATAGTATTCATAACATCTAAACTAGTAATAAATATAATAGTTATATTTTATTCATCTCATAGATGTCCAATCTATGAGATGCCAAAGCATTAAAACAATTAATAGAATTGATATTATTAGACCTTTAACAAAAAATGGAAACTCACTTGCTCCAGATAGTTTCTTCTATATTATTACTTGTCTAGATGTTTGAATATCGACAAAGGTTATATTGTTCAATTTCTCCAGACTAATTACAAATTTCGCTACTAAACAATATACAGGGTAATACGATAAAATCAATTCCGAAGATATAAGAATTGTTTGATTGGAATCAGTTTTCCAATCATCTTCTAGCCATATATCATATTATTTGCCCTATTCCTAGATACAATTTTAATTATTATGAGTTAGCACTGACATTATATTCAACAATATATTCCCAACATTCCAAAATCTCAACATCGATGAGAGTCAAAGTATTAAAACCAGAATTAAATAATATCACAAAATATTACAAAATGTCTTTTTTCATCGATAGAATGTAGGCTCCAGTACAAAGTAGATATATTAAGGCTGCACATATTGAGGACAATAGAAAAATCTAGTTGATGTGATCTCGAAAAAATGATAAGCGATATATTTTTTGACAGATATTACCTTACACTATGTCGAAAAGGACCTGTATAAGATTTTTACCGCGTGGAAAAATATTCAAAAATTAAAAATGTTATGATATTTTTTTAAAATGAGTTGCGACACCCTGTAGAAGGTGGACCAAATTGGGCACTTTTGAAGGGAAAGTTCTATTCCCGTACAATACAGAAAAAATGTGATGTTGGTGCCTGTTGATCAATTCTATCTTTATTTCTGAGTGTTTTTCGAAAATGTGAATTTTTGAAAGTGGCTAAAACCGTTAACACCGATACAACAAGGCCAGCAGACTCTGACGTAAACAGCTCGTGACGTCACCAAGAGAAGCCAGTGTTTTATTTTATCGCTTGTCGACTAACGCGTCAGTTCGTGTTAATTCATCGGTGATTCACGTATGTTTTTGAAACGGTCCCGAATTCTTCATCAAAATAATTGGCGGAAAAATTACTGTTCTGTGAAATATTTTGTGTTGTGATGCGAAATAACAATGCCTTTCAAGTGTTGTGTTCCCTTTTGTCGGGGGAATTATGTGGGTGGTTCAAAAGTTCATGCTTTTAGTTTCCCGTTGGACGAGGAGCTATCGAAAATGTGGGTATATGCAATTCACCGCGAGGATTTTACTCCTTCTAAATTCAGTAGTAAACAGAGCTCAATTTATAATGATGAATTAATAATAGAAGACAATTATTACTCTCTCATAAAAAGTATAGGTAGAGGAAAAATAGAAAAGCTTTGATTGTGCAGTTAGTTTTGTATTCGTATATTATAGTCAACAAAATCATCTCTGAATTCGAGGAGAATTTCTTGAATGTTCATAATTAACGGGCATTTTTAATCCTCATTCTCAAACGGTAATTTGCCTCGTGGCAATGAATGCAGAATTCATTCCAATGATCAAATTGCAACTATCATATTAACATGAACTACAAACACTCTACTTAAAAAGGGAAAACTGCATTTATCATGAAACTTATCATGAAGATAATTGACTAAAAAATTCCAAATTTCACCTTCTTCTTCACCTGTCTTCTGGGTGGCATTTAGAACAAATTTCCCTTCTTTTTTCATCATATTGGACAATTTATATATAATTCAACTATAAATACGATTTTCTTGAGATTAATACATATTAAGTGAAAAGAAGGAAGAATATCATTCAAAATAATGGCGTGTGTAATGTCATTCGAAAGCAATCTATTGACATTTGACATCTCGTATTTTGATTGACTATTGATTAAATGGTCGTCATCTGGAATGCTTGTTCACTAAATATGAATAATTCGCCATAAAGTATATAAAGTGTCCAATGACAAAATAAGAGCAAGTAGCTTCAAATGCCCCCAACACAAGGGGAGAAAGAAGGCGAAATTTCGAACTTTTTCTTGAAATATCTCAATAAATAGTGGTTTGTTCACATTTTCATTATAAAATCCGGTTTATCAGACAAAAATACGTGAGTACCGAAAAAAATTTTCAAAAAAAAAACCATCGCATGATAAATGCAGTTTTACCCTAAAAAATTACGGTTTCAAGTGTAACGATCCACTTGGGTGAAAGATCCAACAACAGAAAATTGAAAACACTCACTGGTTATTTTTTCAGGTAATAGGAATTCTCCAAGATAAATATAGGTAATTGTATCAAACGGCATGTCAATCAAAATAAAATACATTTTCCACAATTTTCTTTCGATCAATCTCACGATAAGTTTATGTTCTGCGGGCCCTGTATAAGTAGGTGTGGAGTTTACCTTCACCACAATTTTTGCCAATATATTTAATTCGAATGGGTTGCTGTAGGTGGATATTTGTGTTTTATCCTGGTTTTTGCTTTAAAACTTCGTTTTTCCATAATAAAATTGAATGGGGTGCGAAGAAGGGCTCAGTTGACGACTGGCATCCTTTTTTAACCGGAAGCCCTTCAAAAAACAGCAAAATCGGCTCAATGATGATCTAAAACTGAAATCGAAATACGCGGTCGCCTTATATAGCGCTATAAGCGCTTGTCGTTTCGAGCCGCTGGTTAGGCCTCACTAAGTGACGTCACCCACGGAGCATGCAGGCCTTGTTGTATCGGTAGTAACACTAAAACTCTTTTTCTGTTAAGAATTCTTCGTTTTCATGAAAACATTACTAAAGCTTTGTGTTTGTCATGAAAATTGATCCTCAGGCACTGATATCAGTCACCGTATACCCCTAGTTGCAAAACAGAACTTTTCCTTCAAGAAGAACAAGTTATGTTCTTGAACTATATATAGGAAGGCCGATTTCAGTGCCTCGAGAACAATGTTCATCACAAACCCAGTGCTTTGCAGTTATTTTCATGAGAAGACAATCTTTGCCCAAAAAAAAAATATGTAGCCACTTTCCAAAAATGCCCATTCTCGATTAAAAACCTTGTAACTCCGAAACGGAGACAGATATCGATATGAGGTTTTCACCATTGAGTTTTTCATGAGAATCGACATCAGTTTTTTCCATTTGATTCGGAAATAGGACTTTCCCTTTAGAAGTGTCCAAATTAGCCCACCCTGTACATTATCTTCTCACCATATTTAATTCAATTATTTAAATTAATATTCGACTGTGACTGCCTACATCCTATCAAAATGCAGAATACTGACGCTAACATGGAAAAAATGAAGTTTCTTAAACTATTCTACTCAAACATTTAGAAACAATCCGAGCCAGTGCTTAACTAATAAATTGTTCATCTTTATGTTAACATTGACAGGTTCATGTGAACCCATAAAAACCCAAATGTAAAAATTACAACAAAATCTTGATTGCATTCAATCATCGTTTTCAATACAATATTGGAAAATTATTTTTGCAAATGCTTTTTTCTGTTTCATTTCGATGACGAAAACAAAGCAGTGCCACTTACTACCTATAGGTTGAATGTCACTTTTATAGGTTTTCTATATTGACATTTTTAAATGCATTGACATTTGGGAGGAAACCAACTGATTTGCCGACACTACACACATGTTCATTTGTAGAAAGAAGAGACATTTCAAAAAAAATCTAGAGAAATGATATTGAAGTAGACAAATTTATAATTTTTTTAAGCTTTCACTTTATTGTAAAATTACCAACATCAACATCTGGCTGAAGTTGAAATTCAGTAAAAATTTAATATACTTCCTCTACTTCCAAACCCAATCACTTTAATTCGAGATTTAATTGACTTCTACTAGGGGTAGTAACACCGTATAGACATTCACGAAAAATATTTCATTCGTTTATCTATGCAAAAAAGAGGAAAATTAAAACGATAGTCCATTTATATTGGTTGAGTGAAGAATGTACAAGATTGATAGATGAATAGTGAGTTTCAACAGCTGGCTCTGAATCACTACAAACTCAACCATAAGGTCCAATTCTTCAATCGAGCTAGGTATTATTTTTTGGATTCACAGGTACCTGAACGTAGATGCTTATTCTACTTAAATCATCAACTTTTTCCGACAAAACTTTTGACAAAGCTCGTTTGATTAAATAAAATATTGTTGGAATCCACGTTTGTTCTTATGCCAGGTCACACTGATGTCAGATTCAAGCATCGTGGACGTAACACTTATGAAAAATTAGAATTAGGATTTAAAAAAATGCTATCAAGAGACAAGAGAAACAAAACGCAGTTTCCATCATTTTTCATTAACTTTTTTACCATTACTTAAATCAGAAGCAAGGGTCCTTGAAAGTTGATATGGATGAATTATTCATAAATATAACTAGTTGCCTAGATGTTGATTTTTCATTACAATACTTGCAAACTAATTGTGGTATATATCATAATCAAGGCACAATATTGTATTTCAGTTCTCATTTGATAGGGAATGATTTAAATATATTTATTGATTTATCATCTTCTATTGAAGCCATCTCATTTGGATAGAAAAATATTTGCAGTTTGCAATCTTCCCCTATTGCATTTTCAATCGATTTTGCTAAAAATTCATTTTTTCAGCACTGAAATACCAATTCAAGTAATTTTACAGCTTACCATGAAACTTGGGACCCCGCCATAATATAATGAATTCTAATACGTTGTGAGCCTGGAATAAATCATAAAGAATGCCGAAAAATATTTTTTTGATTATTTATTGAAATAATTTCCATTTCCATCAATCGGATATGTCTGCCTCTGTCCAGTCGAGTCTGGCCCAATCAGGAAGTTCAGTGGAAAACGCCCAACCTGGTCCCTAAAAAATATCAAAAACTCTAATGAAATACCATATTCAAGTAACATAGTATAAGTATTTTAGAAACAATTGAATTGAATACTTTCATTGATAACGGAAATTATGAAATTGAATCTGAAACAGATTTTTTCAACAATAGCACTGACAAAAACCAGTGGCGGCTCGTGTCGACTTTCATGACAGACGAGGCTGAATGATATGAGATTTATTGTGAAAAAGTATTCCACTAAATCGCAATCGTTTAAAACACTCATTTTTCAGAAATTTATAGAGCCCCTAACCATCAACCTAACATAAACATAAACAATGCACTCGCGCTGGATTGTCCGCAATTCGCGACGCGACACGACAAACACGTGCTATTCGGGCGTATTCAGGCATTTGCATTGCGCGCGTAGGATGCGCATTGTGAAGGAGCCTAGCCTCCTATAGATGTTGCCAAGTTGAATATTTTACGCGTGCCAATTCGAAAATATTTAACTAAAAACAGGAAATAAAATCGAAATCCGTGTATTTTGGTGTCCTTTTAATGAGAAATTATAGATAATATTAGTTTAAGGAAAATCTCTGAGGAGGCTCAACCTCCGTTGCCTCCTCTGAGGAGCCGCCACTGACAAAAACCGAATTGGCGATAGAAAAACATTTTTCCAATGACGGAATCAGTAATCATCAAATGTTGGGGTTCCATTTTGTCGCTGTTATATGACAAAATCACAGCGGCTCATGGAAATGTTCATACATGAATTGAATCGTTTGCTGAGCAACACAAGCGATATAACCTAAATCAATCTTCGTGATTTACCATGGACTGCGCAACCGGTTCTAAAAAAAACGAAGCAACCTGCTAATGCACAGCATTTCAAAAAAGCCTAATATACTATCTCCACGTTATTTTCATGAATTGATTGAAAGAATGAAGAGGAAAATTAAGTCAAGCATATTCAATTATACATATTATCATTAGTTCTCAAACAAAGATATTATCGTTATTATTATTAATGAGAAAAGAAAATAAGAAAAAGAAACAATAGGTAGGTATTACTTGAATCACATTTGAGTTGTTAGGCATTGAAAAACGTTAGGTATACACTATCAGGCAGACATCTTGAACTTATTAGATGAGCATCCTAATACATCTATAATATTACTGTTATTTATGACATTCAATGTCCTTTCTATTAGATTATGCTGTCCACATTTTGTGGCATGAAATGTTATTTGAAATAAATGTGGAAATCTCAAGACTCTATTTCGACATTAAACGTAATTATCTCCAGTAGTTCTGGACAGTTCACAGCACCAGTCAATAATTTGAAGATAGAACATAAGTCTAACTTGAGTCTTCTGCTACGCAATGGAATCAAGTTCATTTCATTCATGATATGAATATATCGATGGTTTTCCCAACGAATGTTTGATTTGAAAGCACAATATCTCAGAAATTTGTTTTGTACTATCTCCATGACTATATTATGAGCCGGATAAAGAGGATACCAGACAATAGATGCATAAGTCAGTTTAGAAATGACCAATGACAAATAGACCTTCCTTATAGAATCCACTGAGAATTTAGAGCAATTGCTTTTGACCATTCCTAGAATGTTTGATGATTTCACTGAAAAGATGGTTATGACATCATTGACATCATCAAATCCCATTTGTTCATCTAAAGTGACCCCTAAATCTATAACAGTTGAAATATATCTGAGAGGACTAATATTGTTTATATACCATATACGGTATCAAACTTCTTATATTAACCCTTGAAAAAGCGATGAAACAACATTTGCTGATATTTAGATGCAGATAACTTTCCATATACAGCAATCATTATCATCATGAAAAATTATTATCATTATTTTAACTCCACTGACCTTATATGTCCACGCGTGCAAATACATGACCAAATCCTGCGGCTTGGGGTCCCTGTACCGCACCTTGCACTCGTAGCAGTGCTCGTCGGCCGTCATCTTCTCAGCAGAAAAGGCAAGGTCGGGCGTCTCGTGGCCCGTCTGCGTCGCCACCGTCACCGGACGGCCTCGGCGCGCGTCGGGCGAGGTCGCGGCGGACTCCCGACGAGAGGTCGCCGAAAGATCGCGCAGGGAGGTCGCCGGGAGCTCGCGCGGGGAAGTCGCCGGAGGATCGCGCAGGGAGGTCGCTGGGGGGTCGAGGCGAGATGTGGAGGCGTGGTCGCCGTTGGGACTGCCGCAGGGGGAGGACTCGCGGGACGGTTGGCCGGCGGGGTCGTCTTCGCCCAGAACGGGATCTGGAAACGAGAATTCCCGTTGACACAATTGAAGTTTTATGCAATGAGTTTTATCGTTCAAGATTGAAGATAAATGTAACAAAAATAAAAGAAGGATGCAAAGCAGAATTGAAAGATAAAAGCTGGAATTCCACCAATAAGGTTGTTTGAGAGGTGTGTAGCAGAAACCAGGATATTTTTCAGTTTGCGGTATTTTCTCGGGACATTCAGTAATTTCATAGTATAATTTTTGGTTATTATGTCGAAATAATCAAAGTTCTTATGATCATGAAAATGTGCATTATTTTTTAACTTTTAAACACACCAAGAATTGCTGTGATTGGTTGAGTTTCTAAATTGAATCATAAAAATCATCACGTCCTTATCTTACAACATGAAACTCATTTTCTGAATCATCCATTTGTGTTCTGTCATTCACTACAAGAACCTGTGTGTTCATTTTATAATACTTATGTCTTAAATATTAAAACTCAACATTTATAACATGAAACTTCAAGTGTGTCACACTCTTAATACTATTTGTATTGAGATATCGAAATAGGTAGAAAGCCGCTATACGCTTGTGTGGTTTTCAAACAAAATAATTTGTTTCGAAAAAGTCTGTGCTCACTTATCAACGAAATAGAAGGTGGCTAAAGAAAAAAAAATTTCAAATGGAATATCCTAAATTTTATTGGATAATAATATATGAATGATATATGTATATTTGAACTCACATTGACGGGCTTCATCGAATCATGGAAAAAAGTTTTTGAATGACCAAAATATATGAATTACAAGGATAAAGGAGGATGATACATTTGAGTAGGAAAACCCTGCACTAAGGTGGGAAAAAAAATCAAGATTTAATCTAGAAAATAGGTCCAGACATACCTGAATATGTCTCATTAACATAATTGCATTCAGAATTTTAATATATCGAGTAGTTTTTTTCATCACATATTTGCTTGCTGTGTGACCTGCTCTTTCTATTCACTCCATTTTTATGATATATTTCTTGTTTTTTTTTCAAATTTTGAGCTGTTCACAAATTTAATCATTCAATAAACTAATTTCTATGCACCTCTCAGGTGGTTCACGAACGAATAACGTGCTACAAAAATCACTGCTTCTTTTGACTCAGCCTGAACGGGAATTACCACATACAAATTTAAAAAAAAAACTGGAATTTTTCAAAACTCTGTTACATGTAATCTCTTCTAATAATCGTGAGACCCATTTTCCATATTATTCTCCATCAAAAATGTGAATATCAACTGAAAAACACAGTCTCAAAACTCGAAAAATGTTTCTATTGACCCCATTCTACAGTACATGCCTTTGGAACATATACCATTTCATAGATGAAAACCCAAAGTCATCTCCACAACATTTATTAGGATGATTAAAGATCAATCGTAAAAGAACATGTTTCGGGGTCATATAAGCCCATCATCAGCCAATAGAAAATTATTCACCTTTAGGCACGATCGGTCCGACTAGCGCGTCGTCCAACTCCGATTTCCCGTTGAACATCGACGGCTCCGTGTCGCCATCCATGCCCAGCCAGTTTTCAGCGTTGTGGATGTGAATCAGGTCTCTGACGAGTTCCTTGTCCGTCTTGCCCCCCAGGTCGCCGCCTTTGCCTTTCAGCGGCCCGAACACTTCGTGGTTGTACAGGGGATCGTTCACTACCGGGTGGCCTGAACAAGCGAAAATCTCCGTGTGTTTTCTTCGATCTCAATGGAAATATTTACCGAGATTTCGCGGGAGGGGCGTAGCAAGATCCCGCAACATATTATTATTAATAATAATAATATTAGAAATATATTGTTTCCTACGACAACCTTTCATACTCAAATTTACAGTCCACTGTCTCATTCTCGCCCATGTTGATGGTCCTTCGAGCCGGATCTCGATTTTGGGAAATTCTTAAATTCAAGTTGAATTACCAATAATTAGCAAACATAATTACAATTTGCATAAATTTTGGAATAAATAATGTATTCTCCATTCAGAACATCTCTTTGAAGCATCTATTCTGAGTGGTTTGTCAGCAGTTGTCGCCAAGTTGTCATTGTTCGTCGTCATACTGACGTAATATTCGTGATAGATGAGTATTATATCATGGAACGTTTCTTCAATTTCGATATGAATTTGATGTTCAACTCATTTATGCATTTGAGCATGTATTCAAACGGATGAGATGCAGCAAACTGAAGAATTTAAAAATTTTCTGAAAGACAATTGAATTCTTTTTCATACTTTCACAAAGATTTGGAACGGTTAATGCAGTGTCTCTCTCAGGATTCATCACACGCTCACTGAAAGAGTTTTACAAACAAACATGTATCTCATGAAAATAGTCGTGGGTTTGAGTTGGATCTTTGAATCAAAAAATTGTATTATAAGGCTAATTTCTAAAAAACACGTTTATGGTCAGTTCATCCAAGGATGACAATCTTGTATACCTATACTGTTGATTCACAATTAAAATATAGAACAGTGTGATTGTCCTGCAAGAGCAGGAGGACAGTTTTGCAAACATGTTCGTGCTGTTTTCAATACTGGCTTGAATTTGTTAACAACGCTGAATTCATTTCAGGATCAGGTTGATCTTGCAAAGTTGGCACTTGGCGATGACTTTGATGAAAGTATATGAACCTTGAACAAGAACGTCAACCATCAAACGAAAATTCATCAACAGCCAATGTGTGTTAATAATTCTCCAGAGATCAGAAATAGCACCGAAATTAGCCAAAATGTGCGAACGAAATCAGTGCAGAAACAATGAGCCCATTGCGACTATCGTGTCCGAATATTACTCTCCAGTAATATTTGAAATCATTGTTTCATCATTAGAAAATTGCACGTGCACTTTGTTTGGCCATACAAACTGCAGACTAAATGTGCATTTGTCACTGGCGCTCAATGATGCCCATTGCTCTCAAAATGTAATGTCAATATTTTACCTATCCTATAACATTAGCGCCCCGCGTAGCTCTACTTGTATAGGAAACGGAAAAATCCCTACCTGGTGGCCTGAACTAGCGAAAATCTCTGTGTTTTCTTCGATCTCAATGGAAATATTTACGGGATTTTGCGGGAGGAGCGAAGCAACATCCCACAAAATACAGAGTTACTCAAAATTAGAAAAATATTGTTTCCTATGACCACCTACAAGGGCGTAGATAGGTACAGCAAAAACAAATATTTTTCTTTCAAGTTTAAAAACATGAGTTTTTCATTAATCATACTCTAGCCGGTGATGAAAAAGCTCATAACCTATCAGAAAACTTCAGTGAAAACCTCATGGTTTTCGTTATATTGAAAGTTTTTTATGAAAAAACTGAATTACTATATCAAATCATTCTTTTATGTTCTAATCAAAGCAGATATATTTTTGTAAACCTGAATGACTGCAACCGAAAATCTGCCTTCTACGATTGTTTCAACTACTATTCAGTATATTGATCGAAAATGAGAATCAACATCATTATTTTCGAAACGGATTATTGACAATAGTTCCCCACATTTCGGAGTTGGCTTTCTCTCAAACCATTTTGATTTTGATGATTTAAAAATTATCGGTTGATTCATATAGCGTTTTTCTGGTATGTTTCTTTGCAGATCAGAGAAATTCGAAAAATCGAGGATGGGAATGGAGCAAGAACATATTATTCTTTGAACTCACAGCACAGTTTTGCTGACATTTTCAAAAAACCAAATGACATTTCTCGAAATAAGTATGCTACTGGTCGAGGTTACAAAGATGTTAATGTAGCCTTCAGAAATCAAATATTGAGCAGAAATGAAACGAAAATTCATAATATATCGATCACAGTAAATCACGAACTGTCAACCAATAATTATAATATAAACCATCCATTCACCCTGTACGTAACAACACATCTATTGTTGTGAACACGACAATATACGTGAATCAGCAATTTGGTGAAACCAATGATTTACCAAAAAGCAATTCGAAGCACACGTCTAGCTGAATAGGGTTTTTTATGTTTCTCATTAATCAAGCACAGGCTAGAATAATCGAAAAAATCACTAGGGAATACGTTCAATAGGACAATAGCCCACATAGGGATTCTTTTCAACAACACGGCATTAAAAATACATTCATACCTTCGTAAATATGGGCTTGAAAAAAAATATGAATTAGCTTTTGGGCCACAATAAAAATGGATCGTTTAAATACTTATAATCAGATTTTATATTGACACAGTTGAATTCCATCAAAAATAGGCACATGCCAAGTTTAGAAAATAAGAGAAAAAGTCGCAGTAAATACCTATTCTTTCTTCTTTCAAGGAGTTATATCAAAATCAAACGTTGCTCATCAAGCTAAATTAAAAAATGGTTAAATTCGTGTATCAATTAATATATTATCAATAATATCTATTCATTCACTTGTTGGTATACTTTTGTCACTGAGTTGTGTCAATACAGAGAACCAAGGATAATTTGCCAAGAATAATTCTTTCATTCTTATATAAAATAGGTATTCTTTTTCTTCAAACACTCTTCAAAACAAGGTGTCAATGTCTATCAATTGAATTCCTCTTTAAGGCTCTCTGATACTGAAATCGTGGTCCAATGTATTTTCAATGAAAATAAATACTCAAAGTCAGTCGACCACACTTTATGTAAAAATTAGTAAATTAAAAAGTAACCGGATTTGACACAACGGCCATCATCAGACTGCAATACTTTATAAAAACACAATTAATCATAATAAGTTGAAACATCATTGTGTTGACCATCAAGGCAAGAAAATTCTGGCTCTTCAGCCGCTTCAAACTTATTTCCACCTGACTTAAGTTGATGGTCAACCCAATGATGTTTTAACGTATCATTATTTATTGTGTCATTATTAGGTATTGCAGTCTGATGATGGCCGTTGTTCCGAAATCGGTTACCTTTTAATTGACTAATTTTCACATGAACTGTGGTCGACTGACTTTGAGTTTTTATTTTTATTGAATCATCTGATTTAAATACTACTCATACTTTTATTTATAGAATCGAGGTGAGAAAATACCAAAAAATCTCGAGAAATGAATATTTCACCTCCTCGATTAATTCACAGACATACTTTATCATCATTATGTTATGGAAAGAAATGTTGAACTGAACGTTACTTTCAATGATTTCATACTTTTGATACCTTAGTGCCTTAGTCAGTCACAAATACCAGACTGGAAATAGGGCTTATATTGTCCGGCGAGAACTGAGAAAACAACTTCACAAAGGAGTTTTGTTTACTTAGGTCGTAGTTATATAATTACCTTCCCGCTTATTGCCAGGATGTATTTTCCATTCACAACTTCCGAAAAACAGTGGAAAAATGGATGACCGAATTTCCGACCGAATTGCCAAGACATCAGTAGGTAGATTGTATTTCTGTATATGAAATTATCCTGTCCCTGTCACGGTGTTTGACGCCAAACTCCTCAAAATCATATTTCATGTGACGATATTGTTGAAAAATCACGAGTAACGTGAGTGAAATTGAAAAAATTGAATTGAAATTGAACGTAGTTTTCACCCTTTCAAAGTTGAATAAACCGCGGAAGAAGAAGATTAACGAATATTTACCTAAATATTGAAGATGTACCCTTATTTGATGCATTCTTCCGGTTTTTGGTTTGCACAATATTATACTGGTTTTGCCATTGTAGCCTAATTTTTGGAAGTGAGTTGTACAATCCTTGCCCTTCTCTGATACCTTACAAACTCCTATCTTATAACTCACTACTTCAATGGGTTGATTACATTCGATGATTTCACTGAAACAATATACAAACATTATGATACTAATCCTACCTTGGAGTATGGAATAAATTCGATGCATTTCTTTGAAGATCAAATTCTTCAAATTACTAGCTTTATACTTATACAGTCTGACCAAGATAAGGTTGCACCGAAATATTTTCCACTTATCATACTCACTCTGGAAATTCTCCTTCGACTCTACACACATACTCCTTGCTCACCAGCCTGTTTCTGATCTGGTGCTCCATTTGTCTGGCTTTTTTGGGAGTCCGCCCGAAAAGCAGCAAGCCGCTGGTCAACCGGTCTAACCTGTGAATAGTTCGCAAGTTTTTCAGGTTATGTTCTTTGGCGAGAATGAAGACCACCGTGTTGTGTCTATACCTCCCGCAGGGGTGTACCTGGCAAAAAGAAAAACGGCCAGATTAGCGAGATCTCATCACAAGGGTAGGGAAACTGCTATGGAATACCATTGGGAATCGTACCCATCATACTCCTACCACAGTCCTACCAAGTATGATGGCACCTTATGATGAATATAGAACGATCATCATAATTGAATTTGTGAGTAGGAAATTCGAAATTATAAAAAAATACAAAATATAACTGCTATATAGGAACCTATACCAACTTTTTTTTTCAATTTTGTCCAGCACATTCTATAAACACAAAAGTTTGATATGATTGATTGATTGATTGTCTTTATGCTTATGTAGTTGTACATACACAAAAACAGATATGAAGTAAATGTAAAAACTTCACAAACGATAAGAATTCGTACCAGTATATCACCTGACGAAGATACTGTGTTAGCGAAACATGTCGTGTGTGTGGAAATCTTATCGTTTGTGAAGTTTTGACATTTGCCATGAATTTCCATCAAGTAACAGCCGAGTCAATTCAAGAAAATATATGAAACAATTAATTATTTTTCGTGTTAATAAGCTTCGAAGTTTCGCGAAGATCCATGTTAGTATTCAAATAAAATGAGGTGAAATAGCAAGAAGTTGAAATAGTGAGCATATGCAAGGCCCCTACAAAGATGTATCAAATTTATATTCAAAAGTACTTATTTTCATCACATTGTAACGGTCTCAGGGGTTTGGTGGGTTTACTGATTAAAACATGGATGGTTCAGGAGACTATTTATTCACTTCAAAAGTTCACCAAGATCTCGGGTTGAGAGGAACGTCGAAAACCTAAATATCATATGCACTAATGAGCACCAGGACAGTCTATCACTTGATATAATGGGCGATTAAATTACAAATGAGCAAAGAAAAGTAGGTACAACTAACATGTGACCTGAAAGGTCGGTCAACAAATCATAAAATAATATAAAAGAGTTTTACCCACCTAAATATCATATGCAGGCACAGGCCAAGATGTTCCAGAGGAACATTGGGCACATAGGAAACCAAAAACACAGAATTTGGGTTCGATCAACGTGGATGTTAAATTATTATTCACTTGGTTGAGAAAACTGCCCGTTCGAGAGTGAAATGACCAGCGCAAGCCATTTCAGAAAATCCCCTCTCCACAACAACTGACCTAGGCGCGCACACGGATTTTGAATCTGTGTGAATGAATAGTTGGTTGCCTAGCCTCCCGAAGAATATTTGATAATTATTATTATATTTAAAAGAGAGCATGGGCGGCGACATTGATTTGTTACAACATATACAGGGTGGAATTGAAATAAGTGCAAATACACAAAAAACACTGAGGAAGCTCGACGTGTACTATCGAATGACACTAATAAAAAAAAATTAGGGATCGACATAAAATTTAGTTAGTCCCCTTTTTCCACCCAAAGTTCTACACTGTAGCAAACCTAACGTCACCTCTGTGGTTTGAATATGCATGCGGTATAGGCACACTCAAGTTCAATCATTTAAATTGTTTTAAAGTGGCGTACTTGATTTTTTCCTCGTATTCTGTTCAATTTTTGGGATGGAATTTCTCGTTAATTAGAAGAATTATAACAAATCTGATATCATGGGAATATTCCTTAGACTGTACCATATTGATGTACTGAAGATGTGCACTTATTTCGAAAACACCTTGAATAAAAGTTGGAGCATATTCAGTCAGATTTCATTTCGAGTCTATACTCATTTTTGTCTTAGATCCAACCGCTAAGTGGGATAACAAAGTTACCTATTGTTCATCATGACTAATTCCAAAAATGATTCATTTCATAGAAGCCTATGTAATCTGATGTGAAATTTGATAAGGGTTTTGCATGTATACCCATTTTTGAACCAAGTTATATTGAAAACTTCACGAATTCAAGCTGATGGCCAATGGGCGTGTACACCTTGGTAGAACTTTTAACTCAAACCATGTTTATAATGCTCCTTTCATACATAAATAATGATTGCCGACATAATTCGATCGAAAAATTTACTGGAATGTTCAATTTTTGGACATAAATAATAGTACCATCTGAAAACGGACCCTCTTATGACGTAGAAACCTCATCTCGCCATAGTTGAAAGAAAATTCCAAACGCCGGACGGAGACTGAGGCAACTGATATATTAATTTCTTTCAACTGTGATCTCGCGCTAATTCACTCTGCCAGAAATCATGTATCATTCATCTCTGTCTGGAATAGCCCTGTTTCAGTATTAGGGTTTTGACGTCACATCATCGCCTCGTTCTCAGAGGTCCGAAAAATCGGGGATTTCAATAATTTTTTATAAAACGTAGGGAAGTTCTATCGAATTATGGAATGAAATTTTTTTGTGATATAAGCCCATTCAAGATGAATGAATAAAAATACCCTGTCACTCACATTTTTCTGTCAACTTCTGTCACTGAGAAGTGTCAATAAAAATGAGACCAATTTCTGAGGATTATTTATTTCACATGTCAAAATTTGACATTTTTGTGATTTCAACCATTAATAATGAGTGATTCTAGCGAAGCATTCGGTATTATACTGACTATTCCACTCTTGTTCACGAGAACCAATCTAAATCGACCATTTTCACGGATTCTCTTTTATTCCAGCGATATTTTTTGTTTACTAACATTTATCAGATGCTCCACCAATACAGAAGCCGAATTGACCCATACGACGTGACCTACCAACCACGTTTATCAGCGATACATTTTCTGACGTTTGTAACGTCAATCATGTTGGGAGTCAGAATGATGGATGCAGTGTGCGCAACTATCGCGAGGCGCTCGTTTATTGTCTCAATCATGAAATATTCATACGAATACAATCTGTGATGAAATGTTTCCGGAAAATATTCGTCGATTGACATACTCCAGCTTGTTGCTTTGATTTCGCTCATGACATTGATTCAAAACTCGACTATGGCTCGAAAGTTATGATAAACAATTTCATTCGCGAAATTATTAGGCAACAAGCTGTCATAGCAATTGCCGAATATTTCAGGCAACATAGCAGTTCTACGCATTATATGTCACTGTTTCTCGCTCTTTGACCACAAAACATCCAACAATCAGACATGAAACTCTATACGTCGATACCATGAATATTAATTATTATAATCTGTCTTTTGGGGCTCGCAAGTCTCAGATTATTCAGATGATGAAATGAAAATAACAAATATCTAAACTAACATCAGGTGGGCACTTCAAAGGCGCGAATTCATTACTGCATTTCATATGAAAAATTAAGCATGCTGCATTCAACAGGGGGTACATGTGTATCTACATGACGAGGTTCATCGCTTGGTTTCATCCCAATCTCATAAAAGAGCGATTTTTGATGTCGACGGGTGAAAAGATGGTGGAATAATCAATGATTATGGTAATTGAACGCGATTCTCTTTTCGGTTCGTTTCATCGAAGGCCTGAAAGGATGTCAGACTCTCGTGTTAGGTAATACCATCAGGGGGGAGAATGAGAGAAACGGTCCTGCAAGGCATTTTAGACGAATAAAACGGCAAAAAACAGTACGAGAGATGAAAATCCTGAAAAATAACGACTGCCTGAAATAATTAATTACTTTGATACACTTTAAAATCTGATGGAAAAGGAATTTCATTTATTTTTCCTGATTGCCGTTGTATATTTTTAGGTTACAGGGTGGTCTGCGAAAATCAAACGATATTTTATTAGCTTATACAGTAATACAGTAGGTACGTTAGGTCTTTTGGTTGTTTCTATTTGATTCGGTTTATATTGTCTTAATCTAATGATACAATGGGATATTGCGCAAACATTTTGCGGGCCCGTTTTAGGTACAGTTGAAAATATCTCTGTTTATGACTACTAAATTCAAACCATGAATATGTCGTTTTATAACAAAACGAGTATGAATATGTGGAATCAAGTGATGGGATTGGAAATACTGAAAAATAATTCAAAAATATTCATTTTTCCTACAACTGTCAAAAACTGCACTTTTTCAATGCCTATATTTTGTGTGATAACAAAACACCTTACTGCGGCAAATAAATACATTGTTATCGTCACTAATAAATGAAGTCTTCCAGAACAAATACTTGAAAATTGAATTCTGGGAAAACCTGTTTCTGAGTATAGGTATACTTATTGAGAATCTTTGATTAGGTCAAACTATATAGTTGGCGCTACACTCTGAAAATTAGTGAAATTTTCAGTCGAGGATATCGCACTTCTGATAAATTATTGTGAAATGAGAAACGTATTGTTGCAATTATTTGATTGACGCTTACTTCGATAAACATATATTTTTAAGTACATCTTGCTAAGTTCATTTAGTTTGGTGTCCTACAAAAAATTACAAGAATAACATACAGATCCATGAATGTTTGGTCTTTTGGAAAGCTGCATAGCAAGTTGATGTGAAACTATTCTATAATCTTCCAGAGTTGAACTCGAAATTTTATTATTCAAAGGTTCTTTGGCTGCTAACCATATCACAAATCAAACTACTTGAAGCATCAGACAGACAAAGACAGACAAGAAGGTAGAATCCGTATCACATGGTATTTTTTTGATAATCAATTATGTTTGACTTTGCGGTCACCTACTTCCAGGATAATGCAAAATCTTTTTATTATAGGTGTATAATATCTGTCAAATCTAATATTTTTGTGCTACTATTTTATTTCTGCTCATATAGAATTCAACTTCAGAAATAATAATGCATTTGTCTGGATACAATACTCTCTTCAGAATTTTGCATTAGTTTTCAAAAATAAAGTGGTCCAAATACACAGGGTTGATTAACAAAAACTCCCATATCATGCGTGATTCACTGACACTGAAGACAGACAAAAAGACATATACAGACAAAACAACATAGACATAGATTTGTTGGGGACTGTTAATTTAAGGTTTGTTCGCGTTCCATATTGTTCAAACGATCCTCGGAAATTTAAACCGAAATGAGCCTGCGATAGTTTGGCAAGCAGATTAACGGAATTGCGTATTCC